GTAGTTAATTAATATTACTCAGTACTTAAATGTATAATTACACTGTAACAAGGACACCTTAAAATAAAGTGTAACCGAACGTTTTTGTAATCTTTAACTAACGTTCTAATCACACCAAGAAAAGACAATTTGATGTTCTTAGAATATTAAAAATAAACATTCAAATAATGTAATATTTTGGGTGAAAATAAAGTCAGTAGAACGTATAAGAACTTTTTCGTCTTTGACCCATGTACTTACTATTATAATAACAATAATGCAAGTAACCCTAATCCTAACCCTATAGTAAGTAGTTAATTAATATTACTCAGTACTTAAATGTATAATTACACTGTAACAAGGACACCTTAAAATAAAGTGTAACCGAACGTTTTTGTAATCTTTAACTAACGTTCTAATAATACCTAGAAAATACTCATAATCACAACAAGAAAACTGGACATTTCAACGTTTTAAAATATTAAAAATAAATGTTCAAATACCATTATATTTTGGGTGAAAACTGGAAAGTTAAGCATTCTTAGAACATTAAAAATAAACACTGAAATAACTGAAATAATGTTACATTTCGAGGTAAAAATAAAATGAGTAACACCTTGAAGAAACGTTTTTGTAACCTTTAAATAACGTTATAATTGCAACAAGAAAACGACATTTCAATGTTTTAAAATATTAAAAATAAATGTTCAAATAACATTATATTTTGGGTGAAAATAAAGTCAGTAGAACGTATAAGAAATGTTTTAACCTTTAAATAACGTCATAATCACAACAAGAAAACTGGACATTTCAACGTTTTAAAATATTGAAAATAAATGTTCAAATAACATTATATTTTGGGTGAAAACTGGAAAGTTTAGCGTTCTTAGAATATTAAAGATAAACACTGAAATAACTGAAATAATGTTACATTTCAAGGTAAAAATAAAATGAGTGACACGTTTAAGAAACGGTTTTGTAACCTTTAAATAACGTTATAATTGCAACAAGAAAACTGGACATTTTAGCGTTCTTAGACTATTAAAAATAGATGCTCAAATAACGTAATTTTTTTGGGTGAAAATAAAGTTAGTAGATACGTTTTTGTAACCTTTAAATAACGTTATAATTGCGACAAGAAAATGACATTTCAATGTTTTAAAATATTAAAAATAAATGTTCAAATAACATTATATTTTGGGTGAAAACTGGAAAGTTAAGCATTCTTAGAACATTAAAAATAAACACTGAAATAACTGAAATAATGTTACATTTCGAGGTAAAAATAAAATGAGTAACACCTTTAAGAATTCAAATAACATTATATTTTGGGTGAAAACTGGAAAGTTTAGCGTTCTTAGAATATTAAAAATAAACACTGAAATAATGTTATATTTCGAGGTAAAAATAAAATGAGTAACACGTTTAAGAAACATTTTTGTAACCTTTAAATAACGTTATAATTGTGACAAGAAAACTGGACATTTTAGCGTTCTTAGACTATTAAAAATAAATGTTCAAATAACATTATATTTTGGGTGAAAACTGGAAAGTTTAGCATTCTTAGAATATTAAAAATAAACACTGAAATAACGTTATATTTCGAGGTAAAAATAAAATGAGTAACACGTTTTGTAACCTTTAAATAACGTTATAATTGCGACAAGAAAACGGGACATTTTAGCGTTCTTAGACTATAAAAAAAAATGCTCAATAACGTTATTTTTTTGGGTGAAAATAAAGTTAGTAGATACGTTTTTGTAACCTTTAAATAACGTTCTAATCGTGACTAGAAAACAATAAAGATAGCAGAACGTTGTAATGAAACATTTATTTGAAAACAACGTTCCCACAACATTTTTAGAAGCTAAATGTGTTCCACTGCTGTTGGTTTACTCATGCATTCATCTCTTCTGGACTGAGATGCTTCACAAACGCGTTTATCATGAATCACGCTTGTTACCCAATCGTGTCTTCATCCATGACGTAAAAGGTGAGCGTATGGAAGCCCATCGGCAGATGAAGGGTGTATTCCTCGCCCCAGAACGGATTCAGGTTTCTCCAGACGGTGGCGGTTCTGGACGGGACACAGAAAAGATGTTTTACTGAACACTTTCCTGTGCTTCATGCGGCACGGAGCCAATTTGCGTACATTTAATACCTGCATTCGAGCCTGAATTAGAATCTGCCTAGATACAGAGAACAATTTAAAGGGCCATAAGTGACGAGGATGGAAAACAATCAATCAATTCACCCAATTTCTCAAAGGGAGGCCTGATCATTTCCATTTCAAAAGACACAACGCTTTTTAAATATGCACCACACCAGGTGTGCTGTTCATCTATCAACTATCACAATACAGCATCTGAAAGCAACACGACACGCAATGCACTGACTCTTTCACACACACATCATTTCTGGGGAGGGGGTTGTGATTAGTTAGTTGTTCTCCATGGTAACCAGCTGATGTTGTAAAGTGCATCATCACCGCATCAGTGTCAAACAATCAATAACCAATACAACACCACTTACTGATCAAGCCAATTAATCATCATGCATGCAATCAATAAATCAATGATTAATTAGGATGATTAATTGATCTTTCAAAACATGAACAAATGCAATAAATGACCTGCTTGTGTGTGCTTTCGTGGACATATAGCACATATAGCCATATAAATGACGACAAATCTTACGTCTACATCTATTTTTTTTATTTGGACTAACTGACTGCAAACTAACTGTAAAATAGAACTTTTTGCATCTTTAGAATTACAGAAACATAATTACAAATCAGTTTTACAATCGAGGCCATCACCAAATGTGTTGCCAGATTTAGTTCACTTCTAGAGGCAATTTTCTGCCCAAAATATAACTAAACTGATTAATGTGGCTTCAAGATACTTGTGTTAGTGACATTAGTGAGCTTTTATATTTCATTTGTTAGCACTATCACCTCACACAAACCTGCTGACATCACTAGATTTAATATAACCCCTGATTTAGCCATTTTATGCGCCTTTCAATCAGTGAGGAACACTTGTTGCTTTTTCAGATTTATAAAAAAAAAAATTACTTTATTAAAAAAAAACATTTTTACTTTATTTGAAAGTTTTGTTCGATTTGAACTATTTCACAATTACAAAAAAAATATATTTACTTTATTTAAATAAACAATTTTACTTTATTTGAAAGTTTTGTTCGATTTAAGCTATTTCACAATTACAAAAAAAATATATTTACTTTATTTAAATAAA